CTGAGGGAAGCAGGGAAGGGAAGGGAAGGGGGAGCACGGCCGCTGGCTGACTTTGAGGGCGCTGATGTGGCGCTCACGTGGCCGCGCGGCGCAGGTACCGCGGCGGAGGGAGGGACGCGGGGAGGAAGGGCCTCCCCCTCCTCCTCCTCCTGCCGCCTATGCCGATGCTGCTCCCGCCGCCTCTTTCTCTCGCTGCTATTCCTTGTCTCCGAGTAACGCGTGGAATCCCCCGCTGGCGCTCCACGAAGCCGACCGAGAGCCTCCCCCCGCCGAGCGCTGCGGAGAACGCTTGTTCCCCTCTGCGCACAAAAGTCTCTGGAGATTTCCTTGCCCCCGCCGCTCCCGCCCCCTGCAGCGAGAAACCTCCAAAACAGCAATTCCTTCCACTATTTTTGTTGTTGCTGTTTTTCTTTGCTTACTTATTCATTCATTCATTCATTCATTCATTCACGTTTCAACGCAGAATAAGGTGACGCAGTGTGAAGCAGGAGGATGAATTTCATTCAGTGCAGGATGTGATGAGTTCAAGGAGAAGCCCAGATGTCGGGTGTTAAAGCCCTCCCTCAGGTCTGTAACTTCAAAATAGGGCCTGTTCGGGGGTGCAGTTTGAACCAGGTGACCTCCAGCAGCTCGCCAAACCAGCTAAAAGAGTCTTTGCTCTTGTGCAGGGCTCCTGGAGACACTTTTTGATGTGGAGTGCCTGGCTAGAGCTCAGAGCAACATCCAAGGTGAATACAAATGTGCTGTGCAGCCAGCCCTCTCTGTGTAGCCCCAGCCAGCGATCTTCACGAGTTTCACTCTGAATGCTTCTTTCTTCATCCATCTCGAGCTCCAACCAGCAACCACACAGTAAACTCGCCAGATGAGGTTCCCCACAAGATGAAAAGGAGCAGTAAAAATTACGGCTTCCCAAACCATCCCTTAGGGTGAATAAAGACAGCTTCTAGTAAAGGAGAGAGAGAAAGTTCCTTGGTCACAAAGTTCTGTCACGGCCCTTCCCCTCAGCTGATGGCAATTTATACAGACATAAAGGAGTAACTTGCAAATCAGAAATTTTCTAGGCCTGAGCCAGGGAGTTTGGACAGAGTAAGTAAAATCCTGCAACCTGTCTTAAGCTGTGAGGTACCCCTCTAAGCTTTAAGGACAACTGTGGGAAAAGAACAGAGAAACGAAAAGCAAGAAACAATTTTTCAGGCTAAAAACTTAAAACTATATGTCAACATTTCCTTTTATACAACAGCTACATGAAGCTATGGGATAAAACTGGCCTGACAGAACAGCTGTCAGGTTCCTGGTCTATTCCCCACTGCCAGCTCGGCTGGGTCATTCCAGGGCCTTCAACACATCCCCCACCCCTGTGTTTCATTAAAATGTAAATGTGCTCTTACATGCAAGCTGCTTGAATGGCTGGTCAGCAGAGCGCTTGGGGGATGTGGGAGGCGCACAGGGGAAGGGCTGAGCCGGCAGACTCTCCCTGACGTGCTGGGAGAACACGTGTGGTATTCGTGATAGGCAGTGGTCATGGCTTTGCTATAAAACTGTATTTTCCCAACCTTCAAGCCAAATATTTGTTTAAAGGTTAGAAAATATTTGCCTAAGAACACTCCTCTTTTCAGTTATAGGAAACTGCGGCTGGGTAAGCTGAACAGTTTTATTTACCAGCCTCCTTCAGTTTTCCATTTTTATGAATCAGTCATTCTCCATTTTTAGAAGCCTTTCACACTTGGAGGCTTGCTGGGCTGAAGAGAAAAGGAGGACTCTGCTGAACAGAGCCTGCAATACTCTCTTCTCAATTTTTATCCCCAAAGCATTTTAGAGGGATGGGCTGAGGGGAATAATGGCAGAGCATCGCAGCTGTGTCACCAAAACATTCAGTTCTTGCTTCCAAAGCAAACATCTGGACAGTCTGAGTTTCAGCCACCGTTATTGATATTCATATTTTAACTCAAAGTACTTAATATAACTGATAACTTAATTATAGATTTCTTTGGGATAGAAATACGTCTTCATATTCAGTTTTCTGTTTTTCAGTGATTGTATTTTCCATGATAATATCACATGTGAATGTGGTTATGGCATTCCAGCTTCATTCCACAGCATGCTATATCCATTTTCATGTTTTCCTACTCGAAGATTAGGCTAGTCAAGGATTCAGTGTACTGAATTCTGTGTTAAGTGCCATATAACAGGACATCACAACATGCTTTGGCAGGGAGTGACTGAAACTGGAGTTACAGAACAGCCTTTCCCCAGCAGAAATTTCACTCTCTGGTGATCATCCCTCTTAATAAAACATGAATCCCGTTAATAAAGTGTACCACATCATCACATTGCTTGTCCACCAGCAGTGCTCTGTGGTGACTGGGCTCCTTCCTGTTGAAGACCAGCTGCAAGCAGAGTGAAGAAACCCACTGTTGGTAGATTCTGGTGCTCTCCATTGCACAAACCTCCCTCTGAGCTACAGAAAATGCAAACACAGGCTGCCAGTCTATATGGGCAGAAAAGAAGGCAGACATTCTAATCCATCATAGAACTGAAACAGAAACCACAGTTGTGTCCTGGGGTGCTAGAAAACCACAGAGAAAGTTAGTAGTCTCCAAGCCTGCTGCCAAGGGAGGTAGGGCAACTCCCCTATCACATCACTGGGCTGGCAGCTTCTATAGCATAGTCCAGAGGCTGAGAAAATCCTCTCTTGTACGTAAGAAGGGTAAGGCCCTTTCAGAGCTGTATGAATCACCAACATTTTCTGTTGGGAGAAGTGAAATTGGAGTAAAGAGGCTTTGTGTTAATGGCAGTCTGTTCTTCTCTGAGATTTTTGGTCAACTAGAATAATCTTTAATTACTGAAACATTTCCAATGAAATGTGAAGTGCTTGAAGGAGGATCACTGGACTCTAGTCTTTTATCCATTGACTGAAAATGACAACTGATAAAAATAGTTGCTTCAGTGAAAAGCAAGAATAGCTTACAGCGGTGCTCCAGTGCCCAGAGCCTGAGCCAGAAAACAGGTCTGTGCTGGGTGCCATAGGCCAAAGAGGAGATTTGACATGGGGGGTTCTGCTGCTGTTATCGCTGAGTACTAGTCTGTGAGCAGGAATAAGTCTGAGGAAAAGGAAACACCCATGTTTGGCACTGTTACTTATATCAAGACTATAAAATATTTTCAGCACCAGAAAGAAAACTGAAGATGACTCATGCACAGAAACTTCAAGCTGACTGAAAGGATTATTTCTTTTCCTTTTTATTTTTTTCACCCAAAAGAGTAGTCTTGTAGCCAGATCACAAAGTCTTGGAAGAGTAAGCCCTTCTTCTCATTATGTTGGAGAACCTTAAATGCTAGAAGCTGGGTAAATAAAATTAGTTACCAGGCAATACTTATCCTGCCAAACCTGTTCTGCTCTGGCATACCTACAGCATGACCTCACAGTACAAGGAACAGAGGAGGTGGTGGTGAGGAACGGTGGGATGAACCAGGACAGTGTGGGAGGCAATAAAAACTTAAGTGGGAAGAACATGAGACAGTATCAAAGCTGTGTCACCCTGACAGCTGAATATTGAATAGCAGCAGGGAACTGATTTGTCCTTCATTACCTTTCTTCAAATTAGCTTAGATATAAATACAGGGGTTATGGCAAGTTTGAAGTCTGACTGATCAGTCCTAAATTATGTATACATGAAGAAAGATTGCCATAAATGTGAGGTTCTCTGAATTCGCTTCTATTAGTGATTCTGCCCCTAGAAAATCTTTTTAATGAAACTGGTAAGAAGTAGAATCCTTCATGATTTCCTCTATCTGTTAAGTGAAGGCTGTAACGTAATACATTTCCTTTTATAGAAGAAATTTTTTCTGATCAATTGTTTCTAAATACTCAATTTGTGAGCTTTTGCAGAAGTTAGTACAAGCTTGGCTAGTGGCTCTGATTAAATGTCATGGCCCTGTGGGCAGGCAGGATATGAATTAAAAGAATCACATCCTCACAGGCACTGACACAAATGTAGCTAAGTTGAGAAGAAGTCAGATGGGTTGCCATGTGTTCCGTTTCCAATAGGTAAGGTGTTCTATTTTGGCTAAATGGAATCATCTAGATTTGGGTCAAATAAAGTAAAACTTATAAAAGTTGAAACAACAGAGCCTGACTTTTCAGGGGAAAAAAAGTAATCTGTGAATAGGGGATGCATTGCCTTCTTAATTTGGCAGGAGGATGGAGATGGAATAAGAGAGTACAGATGTATTTAGGTCTTTAAAGTTTATCAGCAGCCATACTGGTGACAGTAGATACATTGCTATGGAAGAAAAAGAGTCAGCAAAATCTGTCTCCACACTCATGCCATTTCCAACAAAATCTGCCTGGCTAAATTCTACTAGAGAGGGAAGGGAGAAGGATTGATATTTAGTGGTTTCCTCAAAAAAATACATTTTACGCTGTTTACTTAATGGTGCAATACTGTCCAAAAATGTTAATACCACTGATGTGTGATAGCAAAGGAATGAATCTGTCTAGTTTGGAACTATATTTAGAGGAAGGTTTGCATCATGAAGTAGTAGTGTTTAGAATCAAGGAAGTTTATATGCATGGTCAGGCACAGTTTCTTTCATGAGTGAGTCATCCTTGTTCAGCGTAAATATAATTTTCCTTAGAGCTGCAATAAGTATTCATATTTAACCAATGATCTTGATGTCCAGGTAGGATAACTGATAGATAAGTCTTTTATTAAGAAAAGCATTTTATGTTATGGAAAAAGCAATGTCATATATATTTGCAATCAGGTTTATCAGTGACATTTTCCAGAAAGCAGCTGGGTTTCTCTAAGAGATATAGGTCCAGTGAGGATGAGGGCTGCATGTATGTGCATCAATGCACACACCCATGTATATACATATATGGTCTTATATAATAATATATATAGCCTGCTTCTTCAAACTCCTCACTATTATATTCCAAGTTGTGCCATATCTTTGTAGAAAGGTTATTACCTGTTATTTGTAGGATTGTGTTAACACTAAAGAAATGGACTAGTTCAGAGAATTCAGGATGTCAACATGACCTTTTTAGAGAATTACATTAAATAAAATTCAATGTTTTCAATAAAGTGATCTTGCCCTCCTAAGTCTGCTGGGTGGCAGTCACCCAGCAGAACTAGTTTTTTTTTTAATCTGTTGTTCAAGATGTTGAGAAGACAAATGGTTGATATCCTTAATACTTTGTACTGAAATATAAGAATTCAAATTACAAAATACTTTATATATCTTCCATCTACTCTGTAGAATTTTTGGCCTTCTTCCCCCAGCTGTGCAGTCTGCTCTTAAAGGTGGTTATGGTGGGAACTAAAAGAATGCAGTAGCTGAAGTGGGCTCACAACTGGGTGTCCAAGCCTCCAGCCTGATCTTACCAGTTCTGGCACCAGTTTTGGTTTTGTCTTGAGGATGTTGTGCCAGTTCTTGGGCACCCAGGAAATTATGGTGACAGAAAAGCCTGCCAGCTTTCTCTGGGCCAGTTTCAAAACATACAGACCTAGAATGGATTACACTGTCTGTAATTACTTTTTACAGTAGCTGAGCTGTATTTCCATGGTTTCTGATTTTGCCTAACTGGGGCCCAGTCCCAGTCTTAGTTTAGTGGTGCTGTTGGGCAATAGTGGTACATCCTTTTGTCTCTTCTAATTCGGTTTGCATCACTGTAGAATTTGTGTACTTGTTGTAAAATCAATTTTATTCAACAGGCTGAGTTGAACTTGTATTACAGTGGCAGACAAAAGCTTGGACCCAGCAGTGGTGACGTTCTTTCTGACAGCTCACGCACCCGCTTACCCATTCACGGAAAGGTCACATTAACTTGTCAAAACAGCTCTCAGCTTCAGCTCCATTTGACTCTGTGTTCCTGGCCCCCAGGACGTGTACACAGCACAGCACTGCTCTCCAAGGCCTCCTTGCCCTGGGCTGTGAGTTTGGATGGAACAATATGTGCACGCTTGGACAGGATGTACTGGGGCCAGGTCTGGACACTGACTGCTCTTTGACTCTGCCTTAGGCAGTTGGGCTCCAGTGACTGGAGATGTTTCTGAGGCTGTTATCCTTTGTAGCAGTGAATGTCTTCATGCCTGCAATGCATTGCTTCCAGCCCACAGGAGACCTAGTGGATACTGCACATCACCTCCAGGCCAAAATACTTTGCTAAAGTAGGGAAGTCTGGTGCTGGATGTGGCTGCCTGCATGTGGATCATACAGGGCAGGTTCTTAGGATGGGTTTCAGATGCTGCCCAGATGCTGCCCAAGAAGTAATCAGCTGTGGAAGGAGTAGGATTTGAGATCTGGGGAAGAATCTCTCCTGCTGCATCCATAGCTGATAGCTAGGATGTACTGCAGCTTGGCTTTTTAGGGCTCTAGGCTCCTAGAGAGCAATCCTAATGAGAGGCACATCTTTGCAGTCTCTAATACATAAAATATATTCTTACCCAGATACTCAGGCGTGAAAACACCACTTGTGTCTGACCTGGTGTATTTCCTGTGCTTTTTGAATCCTACATTTTAAAGGAGCTTAATGTTTAACTGTAGGGTGGCATAAGTTCCAATGCTTCCCTGAAAATGTCCCAGCAGGATGGAGAAACCCAGGCAACCTCTTTCCTGGGCACAGGTGTTACAGCCAGCAGCACGTGGTTGAGGGGGGAGCACTGAAACAGGCACCCTTCTCTCATCATTCCTGCAGGGCAAATCCATGTGTTTCTGTGGCTGGTCCTGATAGCTAATAGTTCTTCTCTGGGAGTGCAGCACAAACCAACACACTGTACCAGATACCCTCAGCTGTGGCATTTATTCCTTGTCAGCTGAAGGCCTGCATTAGCACAATGAGGTCAGTAGGAGTTACTGCCTGCCAAAGAGAAGTGAAACCAGGCAAAACCATCTAATCTGTGATACTCCCACCTAGCCATGCTATTTGGACAGATCCATTTTCCAGGCAACATTTCTGCCTCAGTAGTGTTAAATTTTAGTAAGTGCTATTCATTGCCTCACTGAACCAGTGTCTGGAACAGCCCATGGGTACTATTGCCATATGCACTGCTATAATGAACACCAAAGCCTATTTCAGTGACCTGAATATTTTGAAAATTTAGTCCTTTATTTTTATCCACATAGAGGGAGCACAAGCTACAGTGTCCTACTTTATCTCAACTGTGTCATCTGACTCATCAATCAAAACTGAGACCGAATCTTATTATCACCCACTGACTTTCAATCAACCTAACAAACTGATCAGAAGTACAAAAGAAAGGTTTTGTCACTCAGCTCTATATCTTTGCAAATCTTGAGTCATGTGAGATATTATAAAGTTT